TGAAATTGTCATTAAAACATGTGATTTTGCTATGGGATTAAGTCAAATCGCTACTATCTAGAAATATGATAGCCTGATTTTCAACTGACTTTTTTGACTAGGGTTTTGACAATTTTATCAACTCATACTTCCAACTTTTCTTGACAAGTATCAACGCTCAACACAGAGCTTTTCAGATAAGGGAAGTAATGAAGTAGTGACATTAAGTCTGAAATTCTTCATTTAAAATAATTATCCAAGAAGGACATTGATCATGTCCATCTTGTTCGAGTTACTCGTGCTTATTTTGCTTAAATCGATCATTTCTTTCGCATTGAACAGTGATGAAGAAGAGGAGATTAAAGACTTCTGGCATGGAAAGTCAAAATATTTTGTTCTGCTGAATTTTCTGATTCTTTCCGATTAATTACAGTCGATGTAAAATCAAATAAAGGACTTATTTTAACCCACCTAGTAAGTTATGCTTTATTAACGATTTTTAAATTCAGTAACGCATTTTCAGTTGTTGGAGTAGTGAAATTCAGCTGCGATTGCCCGTGTGATTATGGTTGTGCTGAGGCGCACAGTCGTTGGCGGTTGTGGGACATTCACGGTGCAGATGAAATAAAATTTTTGTTCGGAACTTTCTGTGTCATCACCACTACCTATACTGTGATGCCAGCATGTTGCAATTTTCTCTTTTTGGCATTTTTTCACTTTCATTTGTTACCCTCCTTGTTGCGCTAGCTTGATGTCGAACGAAATGCGCGATTTCGTTCTTTCTGATTCACTAACTATTGAATCTGGCATTTGCACTAATTAACCTTAACTGTCATTTATTCGGTGAACGTTCCTTTCTTCTTTGTTTAACAGATTGCTTGAACAGATATAGGTCAATGGATTGAGTTTTGACTCAATTCAACAAATTTCTTTATTTCATTGTAGGCTAATGATAAGCCATTTTATTGGTCTCCGCACCTCGCTGTCGTAACCCTCTCTCGTCGCACACTCTAAGCGTGGATCTAACTTAACCCAAAACGAGAGATCATCTGCCTATTCAAATTCACCAGTTGTACATTCGATCTCATTTCGCTGTATCTGCTCCTTACATTGTACGATGTGATTATGCTCGATGTGCTAGCGCAACAGAATGACTTGCGCTAATGGCTTTTATCACATATATAGACGAGATCTGTTTGAAATAAATTGCATAATAAACGTTGTTCTGTTTTAGAGACGGTATTCTTAATTTAAACCTGTTAAGAGGTTCAAAAGTGTTTTATTTCTCTTCAGAAAAGATTGTATTGAGAGGATGGGATATATTGTATAGCATAGAAATAAATCAGCTTCTTAATACCTTCTCATATTCTC